GACTGGTGCAGGTCAGGGCAGTGTTTCTGTTCTATTGTACATAAGATCACTAGGAGTCAGAACCTACAACCTAAGCCATGTCTAAATTTACAGATGAATCTGAGACAGGGCCAGCCAATAACTTTTTTTTTTTTCCCATCCAATAACTTTTGTAAGTCTTGACATTAGTTGTATAATGAATCAAATTGTAATTTGTCACTTCAGAAAATTTAGCTTCTCAAAGCTTCAATTTAATAATCTGACAGTGGGAGGTAGTAATAACCTAATATTTGACATTGATGTAGTAAGGAGATGAAAAATGCTTAGCATATTTTTAGCACATGGTATATACATTTAATTAATTTAGATGTTAACCAGATTCTTACAGACTATCTATCATTCACACACTCCACTTTGTTTGTTCAAGGTAGTGGTTTAGCTGTCTCTCCCTGAAACAACCCAAACTGTACTTTCCCTGTATTTCGCTCTGAACTTAGAAGTAACAGGAAATTGCTTCTGTATCACAGTATTGAGAAGAGAAGGTTATTCTGAATCTTTAAAAACGAGTTGCCACCATGTCACCTCTGACTCATGCTTCACAGGGTTTTTAATAGCTGATTTTTCTGACTTTATTGCCAGGTCTTTCTTCTGAGGTGCCTCTCTGGGAATTCTCAAACCTTTAAGACCTTTCAGTTAGCAGCAGGGCTTTGAACTGCTTCTCCCTACTTCAGACATGGCTTTTGAGCTAAACTGGAACAGATGTGAATTTGTAAAATGTGGGTGAACTAGAATGATAACAGATAACTAGAATGATAGCAAGCCAATGCCCTGCTAGAAACTTAATCTGCCTCATAAAAGTAGAGCAGCTTGTGCATTACAAAGCAAGCAGATCTCAGTTGGCTGACTCGAAACAACAGTGCCCCAGTCAAAGATGGTGACCAACTGCAGTCCTGGCAGTGATCCAGTCTCTTGCATCAGGCTCCTGGAAGAGCTCACTATGCCTCTTCTGAGTCTCCTATTCCAGAGCTTTGAAGCAGAATTTTTTCTCATTCCAGTTATTGTTCTGCTTCATCCAAATTTAAAAAAAAAATTGAATCTGTCCTATTTTCACTTCGTCAACTATGCCCAAACTGATTTGAAGTGCTTCAAAGCCTTGGTAAGCAGCAAACACATGAACTGTTTGCACCACTCAGGGACTCCTGGAAAACATTAAGAAATTTAAAGAGAAAAGTTGAAGAAATTGAATTAAATGACATCTGTTTGTTGTCTAAGTTGTCATAATAAAGAACTGAGATGGCTTCTTGTTATTGTTGTTAAGTGTCATCAAATTGGTTCCAACTCATAGCATCCCAGTATAGCATTTCCAAGGAGGGTGTGGTGAGCTTGAACCACCAACCTTGGGTTCAAACTGGCTTTGCAGTCCAACGCATTAACCTGCAGCACCACACCAGGACTCCTGAGGTAGCTTTGGTACTTGAAAATACGACAGATTTTATGGGTTGTGAAAATTATTCCCTACCCTTAACGCTTTCCTAGAATAAAATGACATCACAGATATTTGTTTCTTTTATCCCAGTTGTACAGTAAATGTATGTGATACTTTTTTTTCCTTGTTAAATAAAATGTCTTCTCTGGATCTATGTAAAGTATATGTTTTCCAGAGCCATGACTATGTCTTATTCATTTTCTGTGCTTGGTACAGTACTTTGAACATGATGTTGCTGTTGTTAAGTGCCGTTGAGTCAGTTTCTACTCATAGCGACACTATATAGGGTTTAAATCTTTGCATGATCAAAAAGCTTTATCTTTCTCCAACACTTGAAAATGATTGTTGTTGGCAAGTGCCACATAGTCAATTCTGACTTGTACCGACCCTGTACAGGGTTTCTGAGAGGAACAGCTGATGAGTTTAAACTGTTCACCTCGTGGTTCCTAACCCAGTGCTTATCCTACTGCATCACAGAAGCAGTCCTAGGGCCCATAAATGTTGATTTTTTTGTTTTGTTTTAACACACTTTAGTTGAGGAAACGTTAAATGTAGAATTGGTGCCAATGAAGATATGTCATTACAAAAGTTAATTAAAATTTAAAACATTTTAAATTTCAGATTTCCTTTTTTTCTGGGGAACTGTATTTTTAATAACAACAACTTTAGTTGCCCTTCTGAAGAAAGAAAACAAAGAAGTATCACTAGTAAAAGAAGAAACACAAGGAATTACGGATACTTATAAGTTGCTTTTTGCAATTATAAAAATGCCAGCAGTTCTAACATTTTGCCTTCTGATTCTAACTGCAAAGGTAAGAGATTGTAATTACTTATAGCATGGAGTACCTTCATTGTCTTTTTGTATCATAAGTCCCTTTCCAGCACTATTAGAATTTAACAAAGAAGAAGCAATATTTTCTATTTATTAAATATGTGTTGAAAGGTGTGTTAATGTTAAATATAATTTTAAAGTAAGGTGAATGTCTCAGGGTCATAAAAATAATTATGTTATTATGAAATACTTCTAATGAGTGTCAATTATATTTATTTAGTGGCATTGATGTTTCAAACAGAACCAAAAGCCTTGAGAAAAAAATAGCTCTGATTATATTCTAATGAGGCAGGAGCCTTGGTGGTGCAGTAATTATGCGCCCAGCTGCTAACCTAAGGTCAGTAGTTTGAACCCATCAGCCATTCCAAGGGAGGACACTGTGGCCATGTGCTCCTGTAAAGATTACAGCTGGAAACCCCATGGGATAGTTCTGCTCTGTCTTACAAGGTCAGTCTGAGTTTAGTATCAAGTAGATGGCAGTGGTTTGGTGGTTTATTATAATGAGGAATCCTGGTGGCAAAACAGTTAAACACTAAGTTGCGGATCAAAAGGTTAATACTTTACAAAATATCAAGAAAAGGAAACTCCAAAAAGAACACGGAAACTTTATTAAGAAATTGACAAGATAAAAAGCACACACACAAAAATGAATTGATCACAGGAAGGCATGCAGAACAAAGAAACTAGTAGCACCACAAAAAACAACAACGTAATAGCAATTAATTCATACCTGTCAATAATTACACTGAATATCAATGAATTAAATGCACCAATGAAGAGACAGAGAGTGGAAGAATGGATAAGAAAACAGAATCCTTCATTTTGCTGTCTATAAGAAACGCACCTTAAGACACAAAGGCAAAAAAAAAGATAAAAAACTAAAGGATGGGAAAAATATACCAAGCTAATTGCAATAAAAAACAAACAGGAGTGGCAATTGTAATCTCTGAAAGAATAAACTTTAAGGCAAAAACCAGCATAAGAGATTTAGAAGGGCATTATTTCATGAGTAAAGGATCAACTGATCAAGATGACATAACCATAATAAATGTCTATTCCCAGTGGAAAAGCCCTAAAATACACAAAATGCCTACTAGTAGGCAACTTAAGAGATAAATTGAAGAAAGAAATAGACAAATCTACAATAATAGTGGGAGATTTTAATACACCACTTTTGAAAAAGGACAGAACAACCAGAAAGAAACTCAACATAGAGGAGCTAAATAACACAGTCAACCAACTTGACCTTATAGATTTGTATAGAGCTTTCAACCCAGCAACAGCACAGTACACATTATTTTCCAGTGCACATGGAACATTCTTTAGAACAGACCATGTGTTAGGCCACAAAGCAGATTTCCAAAAATTTAAATACTACAGAGCATCTTCTCAGATCACAATGCTATAAAATTAAAAATCAACAATAGGAAGATCAAGGAAATAAAGTCAAATATATGGAAACTAAATAACACCCTGCTTAAAAGCTACTGGGTTGTAGAATAAAAAGTGAAATTAAAACATTCCTAGAAACAAATGAGAATGAAAATACAACATACCCATACTTTTGGGACACCACAAAAGCAGTGTTGAGAAGTCAACTTATAAATAAATGAACACATCCAAAACGAAGAAAGAACCAAAATCAACACATTAATGTAACATCTCCAACAATTAGAAAAAGACCAGTAAAGTAAATCAACAGTCACCAGAAGAAAAGAAATAATAAAAATTAGAGCAAAAATAAACAAGGTAGAAAACAGAAAAACTGTAGAAAGAATCAACAAGACAAGAAACTGGTTCTTTGAAAGGATTAATAAAATTGACAAACCATTGGCAAACCTAACAAAAGAAAAGAAGGAAAAGACACAAATGACACACATAAGAAACCACATTTTTAAAATCTAGAGGAGATGGTTACATTTTTAAGGTTGGTTTGAACTGCAAAGTCAGTGGTTCAAACTCACCAGCTGCTCCTCGGAAACTCTGTACAGGATTGCTATGAATTGGAACTGTTTTGATGGCACTTAACAATGACAACAGTGGACAAAATACTGAACGATGTAGAAAGCATCAAAAGAAGATGGAAGGAATACACAGTCACTATACCAAAAAGAAATGATTGACATTCAACCATTTAAAGAGGTAGCGTATGATCAAGAACAATGGTACTGAAGAAAGAAATCCAAGGTCCACTGAAGGTATTGGTAAGAAAAACAAGGCTCCACGAATTGATGGAATACACATTGAAATTTTCAACAAACTGATGAAGCACTGGAAGCACTCATTCATCTATGCCAAGAAATTTAGAAGGCAGCCAACTGATCAGAAGAGATCCATATTTATGCCCATTCCAAAGAGAGGTGACCCAGTGGAATATAAAAATAATTGGATAATATCATTAATATCACCTGTAAATAAAATTATGCTAAAGGTAATTTAAAGATTGCTGCAAAAGTATATCGATAGGGAACTGCCAGAGGTTGAAGCTGAATTCAGATGAGGTTATTGAACTAGGGATATCATTGCTGACGTCAGGTGTATTTTGGCTGAAAGGAGAGAGAATACCAGAAAGATGTTTACTTGCGCTTTATTGACTAGGCAAAGGCTTTTGGCGGTGTGGATCATGACAAGCTATGGATAGCATATTCTAGAAGAATGTGTATTCTAGAACACTTAATTATGCTCGTGAGGAATGCTGTATGTAGACCAGGAGGCAGTTGTTTGAACAGAACAAGGAGACACAGAATGGTTTAAAATTGGGAAAGGTGTGCGCCAGGGTTGTATTCTTTAACCATACGTATTCATATCATCCCAGATGAGCTGAGCATATCATCCCAGAAACTAAATTATATGAAGAAGAACATGACATCAGGATTGGGGGGAAGACTCATTAACAACCTGCAATATGTAGATAATGCAACCTTGCTTGTTGAAAGTAAAGGCGTCTTAAAATGCTTACTGATGAAGATCAGAGACCCTCAGTATAGGTTGAACTTCATTTTAAAGAAAACAAAAATTCTTACCATTGAACCAAGTAAATTTCATCATCATAAATGGAGAGAAGTTGAAATTGTCAAACACTTCATTTTGCTTGGATCAACTATTAACATCCTTGGGAGAAGCAGTCAAGACATCAAAGGACATGTAGTTAGTGCATGAGGCAAGTCTGCTGCAAGAGACTTTTAAAGTGCTGAAGAGCAAAGATGTCAGTTTAAGAACTAAGGTGGGCCTGACCCAAGCCATGGCATTTTCAGTAGCCTCATATGCATCTGAAAGTTGGACAGAGAATAAGGAAGACCAGAGAAGATTTGATATCTTTGAGTTATTGTGTTCGAATAGAATATGAAATGTACCATGGACTGCCAGAACAAACAAATATGTGTTGGAGAAAGTACAGCCAGAATGTGCCTTAGAAGCCTAGATGTGGAGCCTTTGGATATATTTTCAGGAGGAACTAGTCCCTGGAGAAGGACATCATGCTTCACGAAGTAGAGGTCAGCAAAATAGAGGGAGACTTCTAATGAGGTGTATTGGCACAGTGCAGGCAGCAGTGGGCTCAAGTGTAACAACAATTGTGAGCATGTTGCAGGACCAGATAGTGTTTGGTTCTGTTGTACGTTGGGTCACTATGAGTTGGATCCCAATTGAGGACACCTAACAACAACATCTAATATTCACAGTATGTAAATTTGCCATAATTCACTAAATCACTTTTCTGTTGTATGTTTAATTTGATCCTAAAAATACACTAATAAACATTTTTGTGCTATCTTTCTTTGATGTTGTTCAAAGTCCTTCTTTGATAATCTGAATGTTTGCTTCCAATAGATTCTTAAATGGGCGGTTAGTGTATCAGTGAATATGACTCCTGATTTGCTTTTCAAAAATGTTATACTAACTTATACGGTTCTCAACAATATGTAAGGCGGTCTGCAGAGTTGAGAGTCCAATGTTCCCCTTTGAAATTAGCCTCCATACAGAGTAATTTCTCCTAACTTTGAATATAAATAAAACGTACAATCTTGTGCCTGGTTCTTTTGCTCTGCATTATGTCTGTGTTTTATCCATATTGTATGTAGCAATAGCTTGCTCATTTTTTCCCTTTATATATTCTGGATACTAGTGTTTTGTTAGGTACATGTATTACAAACATCTCCTCCTATACTACAGCTAATACATAGTATATGTGAATGTCAGCTTGTATATCTGACTTTCCTAATGCCTATTTTTTAAATATATAAAATACATTAACACTATTTTTGTATAGTTTGTATATGAATTTTTTATAAAGACCACTAGTGAAATGTAAGTGAAATTCTTTGCTATATTTTAGTGAAATATCTTTGAATTTTAATTTTTTATACTGAAATCTGCTCTGGCTCCATCTAAGAAGTTAAAGTATATAGTATCATTCATTTTATTTAAAAGTTATTAATTTGATCTAATTTAACACTTACTGAATTTTACAATAGGAAGATCTCTCATATATCCTTTATCCAGATTTTCTAATTAACATCTAGCTCTATTTTCTTTAGACTTGTTCTGTTACATATTTCTTCTAACATGTTTGACAGTGATTGTTAACTATATTTTTTCCAAAAATACTTTAAATATGTATGTATTTCCTAAGAATGAGTATTTTTTTTCTTATAAAACTATAATACTGGGCAGCTTCAAAAAGTTCATAGAATAATTCTACTGTCTTTAGTTTCATTTTTCCATGAGTTTTTTTGAATCCTACTTGTAAAATCAAAAAGATTAGAAAATTCAAAATTCCTGGTGTGGCGTTGTGGGTTAATGCGCAGACTACAAAGCCGTATGAACTGCAAGGTTGGCAGTTCAAGTTCACCAGCTTCTCCTTGGAATCCCTATAAGGGTCACTATGGGTCGGAACCTACTCTACGGCACTTAACAACAACAACAACAATCACAATCAATATCTAAATTTAGCAAATTGTCCTAAAAACAGTCTTTATAACTTTACTTTTTCCTGGTCAGGGGTCTAATCTAGATTTACACATTGTATTAAATTATCATGAGTTGTTTTTAGTCCTTCCTGGCCTTGATATTTTTGAAGACCATAAGCCAATTATATATAATGTCCTTTAATTTGAGTGTGCTGTTTTTCATCTTTAGGTTCAGATTGTACATGTATGGCAGAACAGCACAGAAATAATATTGCGACCTCAGGGAGTTATAGTAGAAGTCACTTGATGACCATTTATCCTTTTTGTAATTAAAAACTATGAGTTAATATTTTAAGACATATGAATACCATATTTCATCTCCAACTTTCATTTACTACTTTTTTATTTACTATTTTTATCATCCTTACTCCTGGTCATTATTTTAAAGAATCTAATTATATTATTTCTTCTTTATTCAACCTCTCAGAACTACTTGAAACTCTGATTATGTTTGGAATACTTATTATGGTCAATCAGGAAACATCAAAACGGAACCACCAACCTTGCAGTTCGCAGCTCAGTACTTCTCCGACAGCACCACCCCAGGACTCCTTACCATCTGAAGTCCTTAAGAGTTTTCCATAAATTTTGCTAAATACTGTTGTTCATGGACCATAGGGCAAATTTCCTTTTTTAGCTTGACTATCATTTACTGGATCTGTAAAGCTATAGATGTAGTCTCAGAAACCCTGTGGAGCAGTTTTACTCTGCTCTCTAGGGCTGCTCTAAGTCAGGATTGACCCAGTGGCGGTATTTTTGTCCTTTTGGTTTTATTTTCTCACAGTGTAGGAGGCTAAAGGTACAAATTCAGAGATCCGGCTCTAGGCGAAGGCTCTGTTGTTGTTGTTAAGTGCCATTGAGTTGGTTCTGACTCATAGTTACCCTGCGTAGAGTTCCTGAGGAGTGACTGTTGGGCTTGAACTGCTGACCCTGTTGTTAGCAGTCCAGGGATCTAGGAGAAGGCTTTCTCTTTTCAGCTCTGGAGGAACGTTCTTGTCTGAATCTTTGGAGATTTCTTGGCATCCGTTTTACCTCATCTCTGCTCACTGGCTTGCTTGTGTGATATGTTTTATATCTCAAAAGAGTTTGACTCAAAACACACCCTACACTAATCCTAATCCTATTTTATTAAAATAGCAAAATCAGCTCCATCTAAAATGGGATTATAACCACAGGCATGTTGTTGTTAAGCAGTAGCGTCTGTTCTGACTCACAGACACCTTGTATAGAGTTTCTGAGGAGTGGCTGGTAGGTTTGAATTGTCGACCTTGAGGTTAGTAGTCCCATGCTTATCCTCTAGTGCCACACCAGGACTCCAAACACAAGCATAAATGTTAGGATATATAACACATATCTGCGGGGACACAATTCACTCCATAACACCCAGTAATGAAATTGAGGTTCTGGAAGAATTTACCTATGCCTGGAGGAAAATATTTTCTAAATCACGAATTAAAATGTTTTTTTTTTTTGTATGTTTTTATATTGTAGATTGGTTTTTCAGCAGCAGATGCAGTAACAGGATTGAAATTGGTAGAAGAAGGAGTACCCAAAGAGCACTTAGCCTTATTGGCAGTTCCAATGGTTCCTTTGCAAATAATATTGCCTCTGATTATCAGCAAATACACTGCAGGTCCCCAGCCACTAAATATATTTTACAAAGCCATGCCCTACAGGTAAAAGTTAAATAAAACCTTTACTGAATTTAAAAATGTTACTGTGAAAATCATTCATCTATATCTAATATCTGATTATAGAGTACATATGGAAAAAGATTTGGAAAGCATTTAAAAATGCTGTATCATTTTGATGCACATTTTCCTCTTTTTAACCTCTTAACAGCTTTTAGATAAGTCTTCCTTCTGTCGTATGGTAGTTATACAGATTTGTTATTGTTGCTGTTTTTAAACTGAAAATAGAGGTCAATTCCATTTTTCTTTGTTTTTCTATAGACTGTTACTTGGATTAGAATATGCTCTATTAGTTTGGTGGACTCCTAAAGTAGAACATCAAGGGGGATTCCCTATATATTACTACATCACAGTGCTGCTGAGCTATGCATTACATCAGGTAAGCCCACTATGGTTTTCCCAGAAAATAAACTATTCTGTGTAAACTAAAGAAAAATTTTTCCTTTTGTCAATATGTGCCGTCAAGTTGGTTTCAACTCACAGCAATCTTTGTGGGAGTTTTGCAGTCCATAAATCTTTGCAATAGCAGAAAGCCTCATCTTTCTCCCATGGAATGGCTAAAAAAAATTATGTTTTCTGTGAGTTTTGATTTAATGAATTCATTTTCTAGAAAGAGAGTTCCATATTAATTTCTTTTTCATTCTATTAGTATTTGTTATATACCAAAATTGCAATTCCAGTGTGGCGCTGTAGGATCAGTACTGGACTGTGAACCACAAGGTTGGCAGTTCAAATCCACCAGCCACTCCTTGGAAACCCTATACAGGGTTGCTATGAGTCAGAACCAACTTGATCGCACTTGACAACAACAGCAACATAAACCAAAGTTAATTCCAAATCCAGTTAGTTCTACTCTTACTCATTCTTAGATCTGGATTCTTTTTATTTTTCTTCTATTCCTAACACTTTCTGAAGTATTGAGAAATAATGATGGCTACTGGGTTAAAAAGGAGTTTTGTAGCGTAGTGGTTATGAGTTGGGCTGCTAACCTCAAGGTCAGCAGTTCGAAACTGCAAGCTAGTCAGCTGGAGAAAGATGAAGATTTCTACTCTCATAAAGACTTACAGCCTTGGAAACCCTATACAAGGTCACTATGAGTCAGAACTGACTCCACAGCACATAATCAACCAACCACCTGGGTAAAGGGAATGCAATGGATTCATACAATAAACACTGGACTGTGAACCACAAGATAAGCAGTTCAAACTCAGCAGTCACTTTGCAGAGAAAGATGAGGTTTTCTGCTCCCACAAAGACATACAGCCTTAGAAACCCTATACAGGATTGCTGTGAGTTGGGACTGACTTGACTATACTTAACAACAAAGGGACTTAATAACATGGATAACATTGGCTGGTGGATTTGAACTGCCTCCTTTTGGGTAGCAGTCCAATGCTTACCCTACAGCACTACACCAGTTCATCACCGTAATTAAAAGAAATAAGTTAGCATAGTCAGTACTCCACTATGTGTAAAGGAAAGATAACTGATGAAGTAGTCCAAAAATCCCTTGACTTTGTATTTTATTAGAAAATTATTCAAAGTGTAAGTCAGTGAAGCTCAAACAATCATGTTTTGTGGGTAGATATGTACAAGAAGGAGTTCTCATATGGAGCAATAGGATAAGGCACTGGACCGCAAAGTCAGTTTGAACTGCAAGGTTGGTGGTTCAAACTAATTAGCCGCTATACAGGGTCGCTATGAGTAGGAAACAACTCGATGGCACTTAACAACAACAGCAAAGTATAAGAAGGGCAAGTACAAATGCCATGATGTATGACATAACCTAACTCCTCAGTAAGTAGCATCTTAATCATTCCTTCAGTAAATAGTAATTGAACACCTCTTTACTAGGAATCAGTCTACATATTAAAGTATGCTGTTGTGAAGTGTTGTCGAATCGGTTCTGACTAAGGGACCCCGTATAGGGTTTCTAGGGAGTGATGGGTGGGCTTATACCACCAGTCCTGTGGTTCAAACTGACCTTGCTTATCCTACAGTGCCATACCACGTCTCCTACGTGGAAATCCCTGCCCTCAAAGACCTTAATTTTAAAGGCCTTCAGAGTCCTGCAGTAAAAGTTATTTGCTGAACTGCGTCACTAAACTTCTCTCAGTCTTACTTGACTTGAGGGTTCCTTTTTTTATGCTCACTCACCTGGAACAGTATTCAAAGGAATGCTCTTGTTTCCATGGTCCTAAACAGAGGATTAATTTGCTTTGATCTGTTTTTGCCTCTTAAAGAGATTTATCCCTTCAGTTTGTCTAAACATATGTTCTAAAATGATATTTTTCACATATATATAAGAAAATGATGTAATCATGTGCTTGTTGGTGTTACTTTGAATATTCTAGTAGTACTTCTGAGGGAAGGAGCTCTGGTAGCGTAATGGTTACGAGTCAAGCTGCCAACCTCAAGGTCAGCAGTTTGAAACTACCAGCAGTTCCACGGAGAAAGATGAGGCTTTCTGCTCCTGTAAAGATTTACAGCCTTGGAAACCCTGTACAGGGTCACTATGAGTCGGAACTGACTTCACGGTACTTAACAATAACAACAGCAACAACATCCGAGGGAACTTCCAAAAATTTGTGGAAAAATTCCATTATCTTGTAATTTAGTTTTTCCACAAACATTTTGAAGGGCCCTCATGTATCATATGTATGCTTATTATCATGTGCATATAAATATACATGCATATATATACATATATATATACATTTGTACATATTTATATACATACGTGTGTGTATAAATATATATATACACACACATGCACATTTGTACATATACACACACACACATAAGTACCATTGAGTTGGTTCCAACTCATAGCGACCCTGTATAGAGTTTCCAAGGAGCAATGGGTTTGAATCTCTAACTTTGTGTTTAGCAGTCTAGTGCTTATCCTACTGTGCTACACCTGTTACTCTCTCTGATGAGCCTTTCCTGACTACTTGTAGCACTGAACTGCTAACCACAAAATCAGCAGTTCAAATCCACCAGCTGCTCCAAGAACAAAGATGTCAGCTTGAAGACTAAGGTGCACCTGACCCAAGCCATGGTATTTTCAGTAACCTCATATGCATGCGAAAGCTGGACAGTGAATAAGGAAGACCGTAGAAGAATTGATGCCTTTGAGTTATGGTGTTAGAGGAGAATATTGAAAGTGCCATGGACTGCCAAAAGAACCAACAGATCTGTGTTGGAAGAAGTGCAGCCAAAGTGCTTCTTGGACGCCAGGATGGCCAAACTTTGACTCTCGTACTTCAGACATATTGTCAGGAGGGACCAGTATCTGGAGAAAGATATCATATTTGGTAAGGTGGAGGGTCAGAGAAAAAGAGGAAGACCCCCAGCGAGATGGATTGGCAAAGTGGCAGCATCAGTGGGCTGAAGTGTGGCAACAATTGTGAGGTTGCCCCAGGACCAGGCAGTGTTTCATTCTGTTGTGCATACGGTCGCTATGAATCGGTACCGACTCAATGGCATCTAACAACAACAGTAACAGCTTGTGGCACTGTTAGGATAAGCACTGAACTGCTAACCACAAGATCAGTTTAAATCCACCAGCTGCTCCTCAGAAACCCTATACAAAGTCATTGTGAGTCCGAATTGACTCGATGGCACTTAACAGCAATTGTATTATGTGTGCACTTTTATAGTACTTCCATTTCATCATAATTATTTATTTCTTGTTTCCTAGTCTTAAATAAATTCTTCAAGGGCACAGGAAACTGTATCTTGTCTTTGATACAGTATGGTCATGATTAGATAATAAAATTGTGAAGCCTGGCTTATTGTAGATGCTCAGTAAATGTCTGTTGAGTTTATTAAGGATCATGAAAACTAATTTTCAGGTTTTGAGATCAGTGAATTCAGATCTTAACTTTAGAGGAAAAATAGTCTAATCATATTGAAAATGTTTTCTGTTTTTGCTTTAGGTTACATTGTACAGTATGTATGTTTCTATAATGGCTTTCAATGCCAAAGTCAGTGATCCACTTATTGGAGGAACATACATGACCTTGTTAAATACTGTATCCAACCTTGGAGGAAACTGGCCTTCAACAGTAGCCCTTTGGCTTGTAGATCCCCTCACAGTGAAAGAGTGTGTAGGAGCATCGAGCCAGAATTGTCGAACACCTGATGCAGTAGAGGTAAGTGTGTTTTCATTTAAGTAATGTGAAGCTAACATTCAAACACTTATTCATTCAGTTTGCTTCTAGAAGGACTGTATCTTTTACTTTTAAAAAAATTCTTCTACATAGTATTTCCACATAGTTTCTAGTGTGGAAATTTACATTTTTGGGGGTGTGTGCTTTCCATCAAAACTGAGAATTATGACACAGTCAATTCACATGAAAGTGCTTCTCAACAAGGTAAGGGCAGTCGCTCTCTCACCCACCTTGAGAATCACTGCTGTGCACAATTGTTGTTGTTGTTAAGTACCGTGGCGTTGGTTCCGACTCATAGTGAACCCTGCACAGGGTTTCCAAGGCTGCAGATCTTTATGGGAGCAGAAAGCCTCATCTTTCTCCCGCAGAACAACTGGTAGTTTCAAACTGCCTACCTTGAGGTTAGCAGCCCGATTCGTAACCACTACGTTACCAGAGCTCCTTTGCTGTGCACAACAGGCACTGAATAAAAGCTAAATAATAGCATGATTAATAACTAAATTATATGACAGAAAAGGCTGTTTATGTAACAATTACAGCTTAAACTGAGTGGTGAGTACTTTGCTGATAAATTATTTCAAAGTAACAGTAATCCTCTTTATGAGAACCATTTCATTAGAAATTTCTCCACAGTGCAAAAAGTGAATATTATTTACAGCAGTAATTAAAAATTGTTTTCAACCTCTTCAGTTGCATTAGACACATTAGGATATAATAACGTATTTTGCCATTTGAAGTGAGAATGTACTATTATGTGGTTTAAAATGTTATGACATTTTAAATAAATAAAAATATATTTTGATTAATCCTTTAAATTACAAAGTGGAAACATATTAGTTGCTGACTTCTTACATTTTGAAATGGTGAAGTATTTCTTATTTCATTTTTACAGCTTTGCAAAAAACTCGGTGGTTCATGTGTTACAGCACTGGATGGTTATTATGTGGAGTCCATTATTTGTGTTTTTATTGGATTTGGTTGGTGGTTCTTTCTTGGTCCAAAGTTTAAAAAGTTACAGGATGAGGGACCATCTTCATGGAAGTGCAAAAGGAGTAATTGATGCATATACTCCTGGGCATTCTAGAAAGGTAACTGTGGATTAGTTTTAATACAGAAAATGCTGATAATCATTGTACGGACCATAAAACATTCTTTAACAAGGAAATTATTAATATAAAAATCCCAAATGGTTGAAAAATAGAAACCTCTCTGTATATTTGATTCTGTTTTATCTTACCTTGTTGGTGTATTTAAAGTTTACGTAAGGTCAGTGAATTGGTTCTTATGCAGCGTTTCTGGCCTTGTTGTTTTATTTATAACTTTTTAATTTTCTGACCAAAGCATGTTTTAGGCTGCAATGCAGTCATCATGGAAGCGATAACTAACCATGCTGTCAAGTGTTTGTGATTAGTACCTATCAGTGAGTTGTATTTAATATTTTGGTAGAATATATTAAATGGGACAGATCTTGGTATTCAGGTACTAACTAAAACTAGTCTGATCTTGTTGATGAATAAAATCCTATATTGAATTACAAATGGAATAAATTATATATTGGATTTGTTGAACAAAGAATGCAGACTACTAAAATGCCATTTTAGTTGTTATTTTTCTGACTATAACCACATTGTAAGGAGTAATCTGTATTGAAAAGACTATTTTAAATGTATTTCCTGCTTTTGTAGGCATTAAAGATTTATAAAAAGTTTATTGAAACTATTTTTTATAAAATGAAAGCTATGGTTTTTAATTTACTGATTTTCCCCATCTCACTTGTTTTGATTCCTTTTATGCTAAAGCTTACAAGAGTTTTTGTTGTTGTTGTTCTTCGTCACAAGTGCTTCATGGCACACAACAGTGAGGGATCAGCTAAATGTTGCAGGTATGTTCATGGCAAAGTTTTGAAAATAAAACTTAAATGTTATTCATCAAGTAGTTTAGAATTTTTTATTACTACTGAGAGAAAAGAATAGTAAAACCTTCCATCATGTAAAGTTTAAATGAGAAATACTATACTTTTAAAAATGAGTATGTTTTAAAGAGAGACAAAAGATAGTTTGTGCCTTTGACAAATTAAATCATGCTGTAGAAGAATGTTTCTTAACTAAGCACTTTACTAGTGAGACAGGATCTCACAATTATTAATGCCAAACCAGGTACTGTATTTCCATGTATTAAAATACAGTCATCTACTTATAAACTGTAATTTCCACTGCAGAATTGTTATCCCAGAAAAATTGTCCTTTCAAGCACCTTAGCAGTTTCCAACATATCTATACCCAGTGGTAAGGTACTTTACATATTTTGTGTTGTCTGTTACTCATAACTGGAGAGACTATATGAATCCTTGAAAATTTAGAGAAAATGAAAGGTTAAGATTCACTTAATAACTTTATCTTGGTTTGAAAATATATTACTAAGTATTGATTTTGTTAATTTTACAACATAGGTTGAATGTAGAGTGGGGATTTTATGAGGAATGGAGGATAAATGGGTGGGAGAAAATAGCAGTTGGCATATGAAGCATGATAGGGGCAGTAACTTCAGGAACTCATTATTTGCCCATGGAAAACCTGTGTTGGGTATTGATGTCAAATCCTGAAGAATCACCTGGAAAATGTTCATCCTGTAGGCACGGAGGCCACACCAAATCAGACCAATACTTTGTCACATCGGTTTTTCATTATCATGTGTTATAATCAAAATACATACTTGAATAAAGAAAAGCAAACACAACTCTCACATGTGAAATGTATTTTAACTCTTAGCTTTTGCATTAAGAATTAGATCACCGTAATTACATATTTTTCTCCTTTGTACTGTAATGTTCAAACATAGTTATACGTTAAATATATAAATCTAATGATTTGAAATTTTTTAAAGCCTTTGAAAATAAGGTGAGAGCCACTGATTGCATTTGCTCTAAAAAACCGACAGGTCATTATTCTCAATTCCAGTAATTTGGTTATTTAAGCACATGTTTGTAATGCATGCCAAAAATCACTAGTTAATACATATATGCAACTATGTTGCAAATACTGGTCATAGTCACTGACTTGAACCTGAGCATCTGTTCATTGTAAATCAATGGTACTAGAAAATACTATATTTTTGTGTATTTTCCTTTACTAGCAAATACTCTTGAAAAATTAAACTCTGTCTTTAAGTATGAATATTAACTCCTCAAGTGTGAATACTAATGTATTATATATGTACTGACTACGATTGGATATGGTCACTATGAGTTGGAACCGACTCCATGGTACTTAACAACAACATTGGATATGGAGACCTGGTGTGGCGCTGTGGGCTAATGCATCACACTGTAAAGTTGTTTGAACTGCAAGGTCGGTGGTTCAAGCTCACCAGCTGCTCTTTGGAGACCTTATACAGGGTCGCTATGGGTCGGAATCGACTTGACGGCACTTAACAACAACAACAACGAATTGGATATGAACATATATCTCTATGACACTATTTCTATATGTACTTTAGTTATAACATGTTTGCATCTGATAAGACTTTTTCTTGTAAGATTAACTGAAAACTAAACCCAAAATTCCCTCCTTTGTAAATATTTTAATCTGGGTTAATCAACCATTTAAAAAAAACAAAAAAACTTGTTGAACATCTTAAACATATTTAACTAGAATTTTAAAATATGAAACCCATGAAATACAAACCTACTGTTTACTGTTGGATTCGATCCCTTTATGTCAGTATGGCCCTGAAAATTCTGAGTTGCTTGTAGAACTTTTAATGTGTGCTTTCTTTTACTAAGAGTGTTCTTGTTAAAATCTTGAATAGACTGTGATCCAAAAAAGTATAAGAACTCTGGCATTTATTGAATGTGGGTTGCCTTGTGAATCATAAACATATATTTGAATAATAGTTGTAAAGTTGTCTAAAGTGCCCTGAAAACAATATTAAAAGAAAAATATGATGAAAACTGGAAAATGGATACAATTGTAGGACTGAACTTGAACTCAAAGGCATTAGTATAGATAAGACAATACTGGAAGAAAAGGGAAGAGTCCCTGGGTGGTGTACAAGGTTGATGCACTTGGCTGGTAACTGAAAGGTTGTTGATTTGAGTCTATCCAAATTTGGTAGTGTTTCGTTCTGCTGTCTGCAAAGTCGCTTATGAGTCAGTACCAACTCGATGGCACCTAACAACAACAATGAGACATATTTTGGAAATAAGACCTGACATGGAGATCTTCCATACAAAAGAGCTCTATTCTGACACATGAGTCAGAATTGACTAGCCAACAAGGTGTAGCTGTTAGAAGAGAAACCTAAGAGGTATCCTAATGTTTCTGAAATTTTCATACCACATATGGATACCTCTTTGTATTTTAGCATCATTTATCCCATACGGGTGAATTTTACCACACACAAAAATATACCTTAATAATTTAAGTCTTTTTTCTTATGGATAACTTTTAATTTTAAAGTTTTATTTTGTTTTGTTAACAGAAGCCCCAAAAGTATGTTCTGCTTTGTATTAAATAGTTAGTTGAGGTCGTTAATGAGCTATAACATGATGGCACTAAAAGAACAGCAATAAATTTGTTTTTGTGTTTTGGGGATCACATTTTTCAAAAAATTGAAAGAATGGGTAAGACTATATAATAAAACACAGACTCCATGGGAAAAATAAAACAATATACTGGGAACATTTCATGTAGACACTCAAAATGTATTTTACCTAGTATTAGAAAAAGGAAAAAAAAATTTTTAATTCTATTGTTCAATACTAGAAGTATTTTAACACTAAGAACACCTTGCCATCAAGTCAATTCCAACTCATATCAACCATGCAGGACAGAGTAGGACTGACCCATCACATTTCCAAGTCTGTAATCTGCAAGGGTGGTGGTTCAAGCTCACCAGCAGCTCCTTGGAAACCCTATACAGGGTCGCTTGGGTCGGAACCTACTCGATGGTACTTAACAACAACAACAGTATGGATGCAGACGGACTCATCTTTCTTCTGCAGCACAAATGGTGGGTTCCAACCACAGTGGAGCACTTATCCTTTGCCACCACCCTGACTCCTTTTAATGCTAAGACTAATAGAGTTAATAAGAACTATGTTAATTGCAGAAGGGAAGTTGATAAAGTCCTTCTTAATTACTGAAACTTTGTAAGCAATTTTTTGCGCGGATTTTTTGCAAGGCATATTTATCTCTTGTAGAACGATAAAATACTATTGTAGACATTTTGTTCTTTTTATATCTGTCTACCTGATTTGACAGTGCCAAATTTTAATGTAATCTAATTTAGTTTGAGACTGAAAGCCTTTCTGTTTCCTATCAATGAAAGTTGTTATTAGAGTCTTCAGATTACTCTCCTAATTTACTAGCAAGGAAGAATGGGCATAGAGAGCTAATTTTCTTTCCTGAAACTCTGATTTGCTAGATATGTCACATATAAAGTCAGAATAGTAAATGTACAGGACTCATAGTGTTTCTTAAGTGATTAGAAACTTTGACAGGACTGTTGGATTACAAAGATTGCTTTTAAGGAGTCTTGTTTTCTATAAATATGTAGGGATAGGGATGGGGTGAGGAGCTGGACACTGAAGGGAAAATGGCTTTATGCAGCAGACTGAACATTCAATTATTAATTGATTATACTTTCTCTTTAAAATATTTTATTAAAATATTTAACTAAAGGGATCTTATTAAAATATTAATTTGTATAGTTCATATTTTATAGCAATTTTGTGTAAAGAATAATGTTTTTAAATAGCAGGATTGAAATGAACAAGGTTCTGCTGTTATTTTTAGGAAACCTTAACATGGTTTATTCTAAGTATCTAAAATGTAGTTCCTTAAATGTAGTCAGTTAAAGTTAATCATTAATATAAAATATAATGATTAAAGATTATTTTAATCAAAATGACATTAAATATTGTAAAAGGTTGAATTTTATAGCCTTAGTTATCTCACTGAAATTTTTAAATCACTTGTATCTATAAAACTAAGAACGTATAAGCTTGGGATAAAATTTGATATTTTAAATTAACAAATTACCACTGTCAGGTTGTATTGGTAAGTCTGTATCTATTGTCCTCAGATGCTGTTTTTCAAGGGTTTGTGTAAATGTGATAAAAATGCTTAATGTTGAAAGATGATCATTGTTTAGGTCACATCATTGTTGATATGCATTGCACCCATGTATGATTTTTAATTAAAAATATATAGAACAATATCATTTCTATTGTTATTTTTTTGTAGATTTACCTTTTGCTTTGATAGTTTAACAGTTACCTAGGTATTTTTAATATGTATGAAATTTTTAGTTATATTTGGCTAATTTATTAAGATGTTTATTAAACCCATCTTTTATGAAAATTTAAGTTTTAGGAGTATGTTTGCAAGAAATTCTCTAGATCTAACTATTGTTTATTTAAATGCTCAAAATAACTGTTAACACGATTGAGGTCTAAAAAGTAAAACATTAATGAAATACTGTTTTTATTTTTACTCAGTAATAGGCAAATTAAAGAGCTCTGCTGTGTAGTGAGTTACTAGTTGAACTGCTAACCCCAAGGTCAGCAGTTCTAATCTACCATGTGTTCCTTGGTTTCGAGAAAGACTCCAGTAAAGATTTACCACCTTGAAACCAACTGTGTAGTACATAAGCACTACCACCACCAATGGCCAAATTTACCTTGAAATCATTCATGCTAAAATTGTAGTCAGTTGGTATTATGTAATTAAAACCAAATACAATAATTTGAAGTGATGTACACTTAACCTGATAACTTTTTTTTTTTTAAGGAAGTCAGCCTCAATTGTAAATTGTATGGTGCTGTGGAAATAATGCACTAGACTGCAAAGTTGGTTTGAAACTCAAGGTCAGTGGTTCAAGCTCACCAACCGCTCCTCAGAAACCCCATACAGGTTCGCTATGAGTTGGTGCCAACTTAATGGCACTTAACAACAACATCATTAGATGAAAGGAAGATTAGCAAGGAGGAGGCAACAAGCAAGAAGACGAGTGTGTGAAATGTTGGCTCTCTCACTTGTGCTGCCATCTTGAAATTTGTCTAGTAGCACTGGATCCCAGTTGTGGCCTGATGGTGTGGATACAAACCAGTGGCTGGTGACAAGAAAGCAACCATGACCATATATCCAGGCTACAGTCTTACCCTCTATAATCTGACCCATTGGGCAAGAGCCACAACCAGCTCCTATACCACCGGATCAATGATAGACAGCAACTGACACCAGCCAAATCCACCCTGACACCTGCATGAGTAGTGAATGGAGAACTGGGCACACACATCCATTCTCTAATCACATCCACCAGGAGGAGGCAGGTGGTGAGTTCGTAAGAACACGCCAACATACAATCATCAGTTAAATACAAAGACAATGACACCACAATGTCTTGAAGACAATAGATATTATCAGTTCAGGTGAAGAAACAAGACAAAGTTACTCCAAAAAAGTGATCAAGATGCAGAGCCAGAAAAATGTTTCTGAAGAAAAAATATATTAGAATTACCTAATAAAGAATTCAAAAGAATGATATTTAGAAACCTTCATTGGGTTGAGAGAAAGATCAAGAAATCTTCAAGAGGAAAGCAAGGAGAACACAGAAAAAAACTTTAGGTGAATTCAGGAAAGCACCACAAGAACAAATGGACACAATACATGGAAAATTAGAAGAACTACAAGACCTGCAAACGCAAACTGAGAATACTAATACTAAGATTTC